ATACTTTAGATTAAGTTTAAAAACTTTAATTTACTTTAAGTGTGTCTTATCCACGTAGATGGTGTTAGATTGGGAATTGGTATTGGCAGATACTAATTATTAAATGACTTGGATTGGACCTCCTGTCACTGTGACAGACTTATTTATGAAATATGTTGCTTAGATAGTAGGCAAAGATGGTAAAGATAAATTAAATGGTAATAGGAGGAGGAACATTTCAGCAGATAATTTAATATTCCGACACAAGCCATTCTTTTTACACAGTAACAGTGCTTGTACTTAGGTACTGTTCCTGGCTACTCCACCTCCCTCCACCCGATGTGCTTTACACCTCCTGTTTATGTCGAAGCCACTGGTGCACATAGTGCATTACGCTGTTTTGTTGAAGGCCCTTTGTGGTAAAACATTGTGTTTCAAAGCAGCTCTCTTCAACTCCTTTTTAAAAGTAGAAACACCGGGAAAGTCCCAGAGGAGCAAAATGCAGTCAGCTGCTGCAAATGGCCAAAGTTTGGGTTTAGACTGAGCCCCTCCAAACACGAGAAATGTACCATGAAATGCCTTCATTACTTTGATGTCGGCATCAAAAGGAAGATGAGTCTGTGGCTCGGTGAGCTCTGCAGACCTTTTCACCATCAACCAGCGTAGCAGACCTGCATCCTTAAAAATAAATAAATAAATAAGAAATAATCCACTACTGTTTTTGTTTTTGAGGAAGTACAGGCAAATGCATCTCTGTATGATTTACTTGCCAAATGAAACAGGATTTTTCATGTAAGTGGAAATTTAGCGTCTGAGTTGTTTGTTGTATTCTGTTATGTTCCATGTTAGATGCTTGTATTTCATTGTCCATCATCTCTGTTGGAGAAGTTGGATCAGAGTTTACTTTTGTGTCACGTTGTCGGCCTCTCCCTTTTTACTTTGTTTAATCTGCCACCCCTCACTTCCCTTGGGGTGACACATTTCTTTGTTGTGCTCTATCAGTCCACCGGATGCCCTCAGACTTTCCCAGCAGACTCTTACCATCCACCTCTTTAACATTCTCCAATCACACCTCTGTACATCCTCATATTAGTTTGCATTTCTAACCCTGGAGCTCTTAAACTGCTGATTTACTTTGTCATTGTGCTCTTCCTGTTTAGACGCCATCCTGTGGCATTAAGGGCTTGACTTTAGTTCTGCTTTATTCAGTTTTGGCATCACTCACTCTGACGCTCAGCGATTGAACTGAATAATAGAGCCGCTACTTTGGACCATCACCCTGTCTGCTGGTCGGCCTCTCAAGATTTACACTGCACAGGCTGTGATGTGAGAGAGGAGTCGAGGCAACACACATTTAGGACATTGAGACATCCTCGCCTCGAACAAGTGTTTGAAAGCTTCATGAATTAAGTGTGACGTGTGGCACAGCTGTATCATCTGTTCACTGATACGTTGCAGCCTACTGCCGTATTTTGTGATCTACGAGGAGTCATAACAGAAATAAGAGTCATGGCAACAAAGGAGCAGCATGCACACAAAGAGTGACACATATTATGATTTATATATAATATTTGTCAGCCCTGTTTTCTACATGGTTTTCATATTCCTGCAGTGTCACGCCTTTTGTATACATCTGGATAAAACTTTCCACAAGCAGGTCCTCTGGCTCACCTCAAGATGCATTTTAGGAATCAAGACATCCGTCACTAAGACTGATTTCAGGTCACATTCAGGAGGACAGAGGACATGATGAGGCTGGAAATATTGAAATGAGATCAGCCACTGGATCTGTTAACAAAAGCTGATCAAAATCACATTAAATTAGGTTTATAGCCACACAAACATTTCAAATAAATAGTCATTTGAAGCAGCATCAGTCATGCATTAACAAAAAACAACAACCCCGTCTTCCTTTCCTTGAAGAGAAACCTCTACAAATACTAACCAGTTTCTTCTCATTATCATAGTCTAGTGTTGTTCCATGTAGTTTCTTTGTGCTGATACCAGCCTCTTTTATAAGCCTGGTGTCCAATGATGTGACCGTGAAATACTAACGCTGATCCTGGAGACATTTCTTTCTGCTGCGTCCTCTTCAGGCTAGACAGAGGCAAAAGGAAACGAAGACAGAATAGGAAAGAGTAGAAAGAGACTGCGAAGGTAAAAGTGAAAGTTGGGGAAAATGTAAAAAGAAGCAAATTAATGGGAGCAGAAGGAAAATCTAAAGGCTTGGGAGGAAAAAAAGAACAGAAAAGGAGCTCGTGTTAGTGGTTAGGGAGCTCATTACTGCAGGAAGCCTGACCTACGTGACTCTCCGCACACACTGAGTGTGATTGATCCTCCATGTTAGGGCCATTTACGCCGGAGGAAAATCCACACGGGCTGTACGTTGTGGGACTCGGTCAGGAATACAGTCCTACCATTAAGTTTGGCCATAAAGTGTAGGTAAAACATTCTGTCATGTTTACTTCATCACAAACCTGCAGCCTGCAAAAAGTTTTGCACTTCAGTCCCCTTGTTAATTCAACTCTCAGTATGCAAATATGGACCATTCACAGAAATGCATGAAATATAGGAGCAAACTGCTTATTGGTGAGATAAAAGCTGCCCCGAGGAATTTATTCATAACAAGAGACATGCAGCAGCAAGGTTGTATAAAGGAGTTAGTTTTGAACACTGTAAGCATGTTGTTCAGTTCAACGGATAATTACAGGACGACGCGTTGTGTTTGAAAATAAAAAGTTTTCATCTACCAAGCAAGCACTGCTTTCATACATTATTTACAGTTTACGTTATTGCTCGCATTTGGACTGTGATGTCCACACTCGCAGATTACCACAAATTTACACATTAATGTAAAAAGAAAAAGTTCAACAGAACAGTGACATTACTGCCAGGCCAGAGGTGCACATGTTGAAGTGGTGCAGTTCATTTTGTAAAAGATTTTACCAGACGGAATGACAAAATAAAAACCTCAACTTCATTGTAAAAACAAAAAACAAAAAAAAAAAGATTTTTTGGTTACACTTTATAATACGTAAACACTTTTAAGAATTATTTAAGCATCAGTATTTACTGAATTCATCATTTATAAGGCAGGATTCCTCCATGGTATGTAGTTTATAATCACAGTCACAAACGATTTGCTCTTCATTAATAGGCTCATCTATAACATCATAATTATTTCATTTTCATACTTAATAGCTGGTGGATTCTGCATTTCTAAATGAAGCAGAGCCTCACCTGACATCACAGAAAGAAAAAAAAATGTGATGATAAAACAATTTAAATGATTAAATTTATTCAGTGATTTGTACTATAAAGTATTTATTTTTTCATTTAGCCTCGTCAATTTTGATGATTTTGAAATTCAAATTCACTGAATTTTCGCAATTTCCCATTCAAATGCTTGGAAGAAAACCGGTGAGGCAGCGCCGAACTGACCCTCATCTTAGATTGCGCAATCCCTCAGGCGCCAGCGAAGTGAGGGATTGCGCAATCCCTCGCTCCCTCCGCTGGCTGCCTGCAGTGACAGCATGCTGCTGTCTGAATGTCACCAATAACATGGTTCAAACACATTTAATATATGAACTGATTTCCAGTTCAGCTGATGTATGTAACATACTGTTTTGTTTGTTTGTTTGTTTTTCACCAACTGTATGTGTGTAACGTGTTCTGTGTGCAGAGCGATCATAAACTCCTGACAAGAGCTTCCAGGTGAGGCAGGCAGTTCTCTGGCCTCACGGCAGGGGGCGCTCTGGTCCCAGACAGGCTTCTGGTGACTCCGCGGCTGCAGAGTAAGTGACAGCAAGCTAGGCTAGGTACAATGTACGGTTAGCAAGTTAAGTGCAGGGAAGGACGATAAGGAGGATATTTCTCTCCAGAAAGACTTCATTTTAAGGTAAAAGTAAGACCGCAATAACTTATGTGTAAAGAATGCAGATATGAACCATAACCTGTAAACTGCTTCCAGTCAAATGGCAAATAATTTATTATGCATATCTATGAACATACACACAGATACTAGGACTTCCTGCTTCAGTAGAGAAGGTGGAAGATTCTAGAACTCTGCTGGTGCTGAAGTTCTGAGCATGTGTGTGTGTGTGTGTGTGTGTGTGTGTGTGTGTTCCATCTGTGTGATCATGTGTGATGTCATCGATGATGTCACAGCCCAATGTGGAAAGTCCTTAAGCACACCTGGAACTTTCAAACTGTCAGAGCAGCAGCTAGCTACAAAGTACAAACTATCTTTTAGCACCGAAAGACCTACAAATTCTCTTCAGAACCACAGTCAAACACAGACTCGTGCTGTATTATTTCTGTTTTTCTGTTGCGTATTTTGTAGTTTCATTTCCACTACAATGGATCACAGACGTAAACCTGAAAGGCTCGTTACATTTGTCGGTAGCCCTCAGCAGGCTCCCTTCAGAAAAGCAACAGGTAACCCAACTGGAATTTCCATTACTATGGATCTAACCAAGAGGGAAAATGGCCAGCCCAAGGAGGGCTATAACAACATGGGCCGGCGTCGTCAGCAGCTCCAAGCCGAAAATGAGTATTATCACCACCAGGCCCACAGACAGAAGGCCAGAACCTCCAGGCTGGATGAACGTCTGATGAACCAGAGCAGCCAGCCAAAACAGAGCCAAAGAAATTTCTACCAGCAAGACCAGGTCTCCTCTCAAACGCAGGCTCCAGACAGGTCATGGACCAAAGCGGGTAAAGGTAAGGACAAGGTCAATGAGCAGCAAGTCCAGAGAGTCGACCAGCGCTCTGCTGAAACCCAGAGTGCCATGATGACACGAGACCACGGCAGGCGTTGCCAGAACGAGGTCCAAGAGCAGCTCAGCCTGAGAGACGCCGAAATCTCAAGGCTCAGACGTCAAAATGAGGAACTCTCTGTGATGCTGCAACAAGCTAAAAACCTCCAGGGAGAAGACGAACAAAAAGAAAAGGAGGTACTGCAGATTGAAATCCAGGTGATGGAGGACAAACATCAAAAACTCCAGAAAGATTACAGCAAACTGCAGGAGGACAAGAAAAAAGTCGATGAAAAGGCAAAAGAACTGGAGGAGAAGATTCATGGGCTGCTGCTGAAGGAAAAGGAGCAAATCTGCTCTATGGATGCATGCATCAAAAAGCTCCTTACAGAAAAGAACCGCTTCATTGACCAGAGTAACCAGGACAACATCCGAATCAGGAGTCTGGAGGACGAGCTGCTGAAAAACAGCAGGTTCGCATCAGAGATCAACACCAACGTTGAGTCCTTGAAGGAGCAGCTCTCTGTGAAAGAGAGCGAACTCCATAGAATCAACGACATCAACAAGGATCTCTCTGCGACGCTCCTGACCACCGAGGAGAAGCTGGTGGAAGCAACTAAGGAACTCCAGACGAGAGAAACCGCCTGGAAAGCTGAGCGCAACACGGTCGAGCAGCTCAGGAAAGATGTTGCCCTGAGAGAGCAGGAGAAGGAAGAAATGCTGGAAAAGCAGAAAGAGACTGACGACAGCAACAAACTCCTGCAGGAGAAACTCAGAGAGTGTGAAGACAAGAACAAGGAGCTGCTCTCTGTGAAAGAGAGCGAACTCCTTAGAATCACCGATGTCAACAGCGATCTCTCTGCAAAGCTCCTGTCCGCCGAGAAGAAGCTGGTAGAAGCAAATACAGAACTCCAGACGAGAGAAACCGCCTGGAAAGCTGAGCGCAACACCGTCGAGCAGCTCAGGAAAGATCTTGCACGGAGAGACCAGGAGAAGCAAGACTTCCTTAAAAAGCAGCAAGAGACTGACGACAGCAACAAACTCCTGCAGGACAAACTCAGAGAGTTTGAAGAAAAGAATCAGGAGCTGCAGAAGCTGTGCCTCAGACAGAAAAAACAGACTGAAAATCAGAAAGAAGAACAAAAACAACCAGAAAAGAAGGTGGAGAAAAAGAAGAAGAAGGTGAGCTGCTTCAGCTTGCTCAAGCTCAAGAAAAAGAGCGACAGGAAGACGGAGGAGGCTGCTCCCTGTTCAGTGTAGCTGGACAGCAGCAGCTCCCTCTGCCTTCCATTCTCCACCTTCTCACCCCTTCTACCTCCTGTCCTCTTCCCTTTTTTCCTAACCCCCCCCCCCCACTACCCTCACCCCTTCTACTACTCCTTACCTATTCCTTCTACCTAGGACCCCTAGGTAGCCAGCTGGTTCACAATACTGGTTAATGGTCGATAACCAGTGTTGTGAACCAGCTAATAATCGGCCGACCCCTTCTACTGCTCCTTTCCTGTCCTTCTACGTACGGATCGACCAATATCAGCTGGTTCAACATATGGTTATCGACCTATTGATTACCAAAAAAAAAAAAGAAAAGAAAAGAAAAGTATGATGACATCGGACCTGGGCTTTGATCAGATTATCAGCCCGGTTCAAATAATGGTAATCGACCAATCAACCAATCAATTAACCAAAAAAAAAAAAAAGAAAGAAAAGAAAAGTATGTCGACATTGGACTGGGCTTTGATCAAATTATCAGCTCGGTTCAAAATAATGGTAATCAACCAATCAACCAATCAATTAACCAAAAAAAAAAAAAGAAAGAAAGAAAAGAAAAGTATGTTGACATCGGACTGGGTTTTGATCAAATTATCAGCCTGGTTTAAAATAATGATTGTCAACCCTCTCGATTAACCGAGAAAAAAAAAAAAAAGTATGTTGACACCAGCCTAAAACATTCACATTGGTCGATCCCTACGTCTGCTAATCTTACACTCTGTCCATTCCTACTTTTCTGTCCTTTCCTTTCCACCCCCCCGATGAATTGCCACCTTAACGCGGTGGAGGGGTTTGAGTGTCCCTGTGAACCTGGGAGCTATGTTGTCTGGGACATCAGACCCTGGTTGGGTCTCCCAAGGCAAAGTGGTTCTGGGTGAGGGACCAGACCAAGAGCGATTCAAGCTATAGCTCGCCTGGTTGAGTTGGTGTCCCATGTACAGGACTCTGCGCCATCAAAAGTGCAAAGGCCAAAAAAAAAAACTGTAAAAGGAAAAAATATATATATATACATCCATCAAATGAAGAAATAAAAGTCTCCTCTGTGGATGGTATTAATCTGAAGACATGTTTCATTTCAGGTTTTAAGATTTAACTCTTGCAGGTATCCTTAAATGTTTCTGGATGACATCTGTAAAGATTCTTGTTCATCCAGGTTATGGTTCATCAAAGTACTAAAGTGAAGGCGACTGGACTGGTTACAAGATTTTTTTAGAACTTAAACAGAAAGTCAAGCAAGTGCGGTTGCCTTTGTTTTAGCACTTCGGTTCACTGGTTACACTTTATAATAAGTAAACACTTTTAAGCATTATTTAAGCATCAATAAATACAGAATTCATCATTTATAAGGCAGGATTCCTCAGTAGTAAGTACTTTATAATCACAGTTATAAATGATTTACTTCATTAATAGACTCATCTATAACATGATCATTATTTCATTTTCATACTTAACAACTGGTAGATTCTGCATTTCTAAGTGAAGTATTACATCAGGTGCAAACCAGTCATTTAGGATTTATCAGTGTTTTTTTTAAGCTCATTTAGAAGGTGTATGTAAATGATGACCAAACTGTGTGGATGTGGTACATTTGTACAGCTCTTACACACTCACTACTGGTTAGTGAGCGTGTTTGTGGATGTTTTACAAAAGCTCACAAATTTCATTTCCAGTTCATGTCCTATGAACCGTTGTTAATGCAGGAATTCATGATTTCAAGCATTTACTAAGAACTCACTACTACACTGTAAAAAACTAAAAATCTGTTAAAAAAAAAAAAAAAAACAACAAAAAAAACAAAACGGTGAAACTACTGGCAGCAAAGTTTCCAGACTGATGCCGTTAAACAACAGTAAACAACTGTTCTGTAGAATTATATACTATAAACTGTAAAACTAAAAAGTTGATTTGATAGTCAGAATGAATTAAATTACAGAATATTAAAGTCGATATATTGCCAATATACTGTAAAATAACAGGCTTATTATGTCAAGACAAGAACAAGGAGCTGCTCTCTGTGAAAGAGAGCAAACTCCTTAGAATCACCTTTTATTATTATTATTATGTCAAAACACATAAAGATGTGGTACTTCTCAGATGGAGAAGCAACAGAAGCAACACTTCATGATAAACTTTTTAAAACATGACATGAGCTGTATAACACTGACTGGGTACCACAGCCCATGTTTACAATGGCTTAACAGTGACATCACAACATCTTATCCATTACAGCCATATTTAATGTTGCTAGAACCTTTGTGTTGTTCTGTCCAGACTGCAAGTCCAACATATTCAGCAGCTCCTGATTTGCTCCACAAGTTAGTGTTGACCTCCATTACATTTACTGCAAGGCAAAACTATAAACAGAAACTGAGTGGATTCTGAGGATCTGATGTGATTTTAGATTTTAATGGACAATTACCCACTAACAGAAACTCACTCCTTCATAATACTGGAAACAACACCTTGAGTGGGAGAGGTCCTGCTGCTTTACATTTGGGATTAACAAAGACGTTCTGCTGGAATATACTTCATTCTGAACAGTAAGAAAATCAGTCATTAAAAATGTAGATTAACAATTCCTCACCTTCCACTCAGTGTAACATTTTCAATAGTTCAAGATAAATTGAAATTATTAAATTTTATTGCTTGTAAGCATGTACACAAAAAATGGTCTTACATGAAACTGCCTGTAAACACCTTATTCCTTCATCCACCATGGAATACTTTTATTTATGACAGACAGCCACGACTGGCAGAATCTGCTTGTTACCTGTTTATGTGCAGTTAGACTAATTTTGAGGTCTTCATCTCTGTGCAGTGAATGCATATTGAGAGCTGTACACTGTTACACACCTGTGAAGCAGCTGGTGAAGATCAGCAATATCTGAACTCAAGTCAGGGCCAGTTAACTCTGTAAGCACTTTTTGCTAATTAAACAAAAGTAAAAATCAGTTTAGTGTACATTCAATGTGGGCAATACATACTGTGCAGGAGAAACTGTTGATGGATAATTTCAGACAGTTTAGTCTGTTTACTTGCATGGCTGTGGATCCTCCTGAAACACTCCAGATTGTCCATCTATGGAGAAACAGGCACTTATTAAAAACAAATCCATGCAAACCTTTTGGTGTTTTGCGGACAAACATTCATTAGAGACTGAAATGATCATTTCTAATATGGGTGGCTTTTTTTCATACATAAAATAAAACATGAAATGAAGGGATGACAACCAGGCCAAGTCTTATTTAAACTGACAGAACAAAACCTTCTGTGGACGAGGCTTTGAGTTTGGCTCTCTGGGCTCAGGGAGAGGGTTAGCGGAACCTCCCAGCCGACACTGAAGCACTCATATAAATACATACAGTCAACTTAGTAGAAGCCACAATGCTTCCATTTGCTAGCTTTCAGTCTTTAACACTTCCATACATCTCTCCCGCCCTGACTATCTGCTACCAACAGCTAACATGATGGTAGCAATGATCAGAGGATGCTAACATTAGCTACAGACGTTTACTGATAGGACACACTGAGAACATCATTCACCTGCTGAGACACTCACCTCAAACAGCGGCTGGCTCATACGTCCGTGTTCTCGACTCCGCTATGTGCATCAAAACCGCTTACACTTTTATTTTTTTTGCATCACCACTGAGAATCCAAAGACGAGGCTGGAATTTGCCACAAAAAAAGACACAAAGACGAGGCAGAAAAGTCGTAGGGCAAAGTTTTATGGGCCAAAATGACTGAAAGCCAAAAGTGTGGAAGAAGACAGCAAGTGTCCCTGATCTGAACTGTTCAGTGAAGCGTGGAGGTCAATGACATCGACTGGGAAGTTTGGCTGCTTCTGGAATGAACTCAGTTGCCTTGAATGACTAACTTTTACACGTCTGAAAAGAGGGACTCAGCAAATAACATGTCCTTGTATAAAAGTACCATGTGCCATCGTGTATTCATATAAAACACATGACTTTACTTCTGCCTCACGTCATGTGTTGCAAAACCAGTCACTCTGTTTATAAACTGTATTTGTGAGGGTTTGCTGGCAGATCCATGTTTTTATTAGGAACTGATGAATAGAGACGCTACAGAGTATTTGCATTGTTGTCCAGCTGCCATGTTTTCTAACTGTAGATGTGCTCCCTGCTTCATCTCATACCATTTATAACCTGATCACCAGCTCACTCAGCTCTTCAACTTCCTGCTTATTTACTCCTCAGGTCCACCGCTCAGACCTCCACGTAGAGCAGGGGTGGGCAATCCTGGTCCTCGAGGGCCACAATCCTGCATGTTCTAGACGTTTCCCTCTTCCAACACACCTGATTTAAATGATCAGCTCATCATCAAGCTCTGCAGAAGCTTGATAACGATCCTGATCATTTGAATCAGGTGTGATGGAAGAGAGAAACATCTAGAACATGCAGGATTGTGGCCCTCGAGGACCAGGATTGCCCACCCATGACGTAGAGCATCCCAGCATTCCTACTCAGTTTATTTTGCTCCCTAAGCTGATTCTACCGGCTCCCTTTGCCTTACTTTACATATACAAGTCAATAAGCAGCAAGTGAAGCCAGTCCGCAGAGACTCAAAATGACCTCATGCATGCTTCTTAATGCCAGTAAACTGTCTATGATTGATTAAAGTGATTCACCGGTTGCTTTTAGCTCATTATTAGGAAGTCAGTGTGTTGCTGTGTCGTAACTGGATCTCTAAGTTTTCTGTATGTCTTTAATAAGCAACAGTGACAGCGTGACTCAGTTAAACAGCTTCTGTCCTGTAGATCAGGGGTGTCGACATCCGGTCCTCGAGGGCCACAATCCTGCATGTTCTAGATGTTTCCTGCTTCCAACACACCTGATTCAGATGATCATGATCGTTATCAGGCTTCTGCAGAGCTTGATGATGAGCTGGTCATTTGAATCAGGTGTGTTGGAAGCAGGAAACATCTAGAACATGCAGGACTGTGGCCCTCAAGGACCACAGTTCGACACCCCTGCTGTAGATGATCCTCATTCAAGCTTAATTTATTTTAGCAAAAGTAAAAACCCAATGAGATGCTTCATCATTTACACGTCTGGCTTCAGAGCTGCAGAGCGTCGACGTGCAAATGAACAAACCACAAACAGTGATCCTGCTCTCAGATGCGTTTTCTCAGTTATTATTCACAGACTGAGGATGGATGAAAGGCCTGTTTGCTCATGCAGGACTGGTGTGTGGGAGATACTGAAAGTGCACTATTGATTATTATTTAGGGAGGGGGAAAGGTGTTCCAGGCAGCTTCTGAGACTTTACTCTTTCAGGTTTTTTCTGAGATGCTTGAAAATAATGTTTGTCAGAGAAAGCACTTTGTTTGAAAGTTTTCAGAAGAAGTGCAATGAAATGTATTGATTATCTAGAAGCTGAACGTCTGCAGCAGCCAAAACCAAAAGAACCTAAAGCCAGTGTTTGCATTTTAAAAAAGTTTCACCTAATCTGTGTGTGACTGTAAACTGAACGCCCACCGGTTTATAAAAGATCACAGTAGGGCTGCAATGTCGGAAACAGAAATGATGTTT